TCCTTAATGATACGACTATTGATTCTGATGAGGAATGTGTATGCATCAGGTCGATTTCGACTAGTTCTTCAATAGGTTCTTCATTTTCACAGTCGTAGACTCTCACACACAGTTAGGACTAGCATGAATAGAACGAGTTGGCATTTGTTTACTTGCCACACATGCCACACTTGCCACACACGCCGCACTCTCCTCAATCAGTGGTTCTTGTTGATTTTGCCATTTGACTGCCATTTGGCATTGCTATCTTACTTATGGATAATTTATAGACGCACCTTTTTATATAGAACTGTTGCTGCCTGAATGGGCACCTGCCAACGACAACAACAGCAGCACGAGCAACAGCAACAGCAACAGCAACACGAACAACAACAACAATAACATCATACAGACACAGACGAGTTTCGACAAGCGACCCAGCGACATAGTTTGTGCTGTGTTCTGTTCGCCCGCAACTTGCCACAGTAATTTGCATAGAACACACACACACACACACACACACTTACAGACATATGCATATGCACGCATACACACAGAGACATAGCTGACTGCATGTCGATTGTCCGCCTGCCTGGCTGCATTGACGCCGAGGCAGTCGTTTGGCCTAATTGTGCGCTTTTGATTTAGTTTCCATGACGTGCAGGCGATGAAGGCAGAGCCCAACTCCAAAGCTCGCTCACTCGCTCACTCGCACGCTCGGTTGCCCGTTCGTCCGCTCCGCTCATTCCAATCGGGAATGCAATGCATGTGGCTCTCTCTCTCTCTTTACTTTTGCGCTCTCTTCGTTGTGTGTCTCACGGGTCGGCTCTCTTGTTGGAATTCTGCTAGCCACAGCAGTTTGCTCTTCGCCTTTGCATATTTCTCGTACCTTGAATGTCTTTTATTAATTTAGTTGTACTTCGTTCTTTTTGTTGCTCGTTTTTCTTTTGCTTTTCTTTCATTTTACTTTAGCTGCATAGCATTGGCCAATATGCTTGGCTAGTTGCTTGTTTTTTTCTTTCCGTTTTTTTTATTTATTTATAAATTATTACGCAGGGCAACCTTCACCTATTTACTTGAGATACGTAGAAACGTTTGTAAAGTTCGTTTCGTCTACTATTTAGCGCGTGTTGTGTAAAATCTAATTTACATGTAAACTCATTTATTGATCATCAATATTAAATTCTAATTAGATTAGCTCATTAATAATCATAAGTTGTTGGCCAACAGCTGCAACAGCTGATGTATGATGCCCTCGATGATAGACGCGTATCGTCAACCCGCAGCCCCAATGGGTGGAGGGCGAGGTGGGAGAGGGCAAACAATACAATATTTATAACAAGCAACATGTAAAACAAAAGACCTCTGAGCCGAGTCAATGAAATCTAAGCCCAAATTCCATGGCAGCCAATCCGCTTACTCCACTCGACTCCACTCGTTGCCTCTCAGCAAGCCACAAAAAAAGTCAGCATATATAAAATATAGTAGATGTATGTATCTAGAACGGGGCAGAGCTTATGTGCATGCCGCAGTCTCGGTCTCTGGCGGGCGCACAATGAACATAATTTATGTGCGGAAAGGAGCAAAGGGCACAGGGCTGAGGATAATGTAGGAAAGTGCCGCGAGGCGCCTACTCGACATCTGCATACAAAGAAGAGCTTGGAGCTGGGGCCACTTATCTTGCTTGAATAGGCGACAACGCGCTGCTGCTGATGCTGCTGCTGTTGCTGTTGCTGCCTCTGTAAATATTTATAAGCACAAGCACAAACACAAGCAAGTAAAAGGTTCACATATACACACACACACACCCCACACGCACTGAGAACCCTTCAATCCATCCATACGCAATTGCGACTCTTTCAGCTGTGGGGGTCAGTGGGTGTTGGTAATTTGAAATCGCGTGCCTCCTTTATTGATTTTCGCTTTCATTTTTCATGCAACATGCGAGGCAGCAACAAACACACACCAAAAGAACTGCTTACATATGCGAGTTGAGCTGAGTTGGGTTACATACATAGCTGGACGAAGAAGGAGGCAAACATAACAGTTGCATACCGATTCACAAAACCCAAACACACACACACATCCACACATTCAGAAACTCGCTCGTTCGCTGTGTTTGAAGTCTCGCAGAGTCCATCAACGCGTGCCGCCACAAAGTCAACGAGGTCGCCCCCCAACGCCACATCACTCCCTCCCTGCGCAGCATGTGTAGCAGGTGGCAGTCCTTTCGCATCATACTCGCTGGCCCATTCATAATGTGCGAGCGAGGTGTTTACCTTTTGCTGGCAGCGGTGTCCTTGCCAGCGACACACACGAAACACGCCTCTAAAAATGTCAAGCATCCAAATGTCCTACGGGCCAAAGCACAAGTGATCCGGGTTGAGCCTCGTGACGTTTGCGCTTTTGTTATGCTTCGTTCATGTCCGATGCCAACTTCCGCTCTCGCTACCATCCCCCTCCCTCTCCGCCTTCCTCTTCCTCTTTCTCTGCCTCTTTAGCCTGCAGACAGTTATCAACTGCCCCAACAGCAGCAGCAGCAGCAGCAGCAGCAGAAGCAAAAGTTTGCTTTGCCTCGACTCGTTTCCATTGTTAATTCAACTATATGTATATGCGTGTGCGTGTGTGTGTGTGTGTGTATATATATATATATATTTGTATGTGTGTGTTCGTTCACATTTTGTTGTCCCAATTTCGGTCGCTGGGGCTGTTGTTACCATTAGCTGGGTGGTTTTTTTCTTTCCTGCTCTCCCTCTTCCTTCGTCTCTTTCGGCATCTATTACATTACTTTGTGTCGGACTGCAATTACGAATTTGGGGCAACTGTTTGGTGTACTCCCCCGAAATGTGGCTCCGATTTGTTGTTGACCCGCAAAGGACCTGGCATGAGGCAGAAAGAGCGTGCATCTTGAACATGCTTATGTCCTGCCAATTTAACTATTAACTATTTAAATATATTCTTGATTTCATTAAATATATATATGTTTATATTTATATTTATCAAATTTCTCACCTTACAGCTTAGCTGTAACAGTTATAATCAATCAATATCCACAGAATACATACATACATATGTATGTATGTAAATAAACACAGGTCTTAGCCAATAACAAACACAGGCAATATGTTTGCGGGACAGCTAAGACCTTATTAGCCACTGTTTGTCTCGTAAGTCCTCAACTGATACTTGTCTCGGCTGTCGATGAAAGGCGAACGACGGCACGATTTATCGCACATGATGTTTGTCAGTTTGTAGATAAAAGATAGAGTCGGTTAGGAATAGATACGACAGCATCATCAGCAGCAGCCGCTGTCAGCAGATTTGTTCAGCCGCAGGGAAAAGGCGATAAATGAGTCCAAATGGACAAACAAAACAGTTTTCTTACAAATGGGCATCCGCTCGATGGGTGTTTGTGTTGAGTGACAACTAAATCAACTTGTAGCAAACTCCATATTAATAATAAAGCGCTACGACAGGTCGGAATTATTGGCTAACGAAATATTGCTAAATATATGTACTTATATGCGATATTGCTGCACTCGCTCGGCGTGCGCTTATCAGCGTCTAACAAAACAGTCAGTGAAGACAGTCACCACAGTAAAAACTATTTACTGATAAGAAAGTAAATACATACGTACACATGCACACACACTCGCACACGCAGCCAGAAATGCTCACAAATACTTGGATTTTAATGGGAGAGCGGCTGAGCAAACACTTGCAAACAGAGGCGAGTCGAGTCGAAGCGCTCGATGTTTGTAGATAAAGTACGTATGTATGTGTGTAAAAGATAAACCAACAACAAGAGCAGCGCCGCGACAGCAGCGATACTCTCTCGCTCGTTCGTCCGCTCACACACACACATACACACACTCGCTCTAACAACTATTTGTTCTCCCGCTCTTTGGATCTCTCTCCCGCACGCTCACGCGCTCAGCCAGCGCTTCAAATTCATAGACACTTGTGAGTAGTGTGAGCGTGTGTGTGTGTGCGCGCCTGTGTTTCTTTGTGTGTGCGTGTGTGTGGCGTTCGCTTGCTTGAAATTCATTTCGTTTTTAATTGTTTTCGGTTTTCGAATTTAGTTGTATTTGATTTTCACGTACTCGCACAGCTCGCAGCTCGTTCGCTGCTCGTCGTGGCTCGCCTGCTGAGAACTTTTTACATATGCGGTCATAAAGTATCTTAAAGCTTCATCTTCAAGTGGGCGCTGTGTGCAGCTGAAAATTGACAAAAAAGTCAAAAAAGAAGAAATACATTCATGTGAGTGCGCCAAGTGTTTAGTACGTTTAGCTCGACGCTAACCATTCGTTAAGCATACACACACACACAAACACACATGAGAGCTCCAAGTGGCGGCCCGCAGCTGAAGTGTTGGAGTGTTGGAGTGTGCGTTTCATGTGATTGCGTTGCCGCAATCAACACATAAAGTGTTGAAGAAATTCTTATCATGCTGCTGGCAGCTAGCAATTCAATTAAGCAACAGCTCGCGTTGCGCTCTCCATCTTTATTTTATTGATCGCCCTTATCGAGTCATTCATCCATCCATCTATGTGTTGGCTATCGGTGTTCGCTTGATTTTCACTTTTGCATAATTGTGCTTCTTCTCATATTTAACATTTTTCTGAACCACTTTCTGCTCTCTGGTTTCTGGTGTTTTTCGAATGCCTTATCAGGCTGCGTGTGGGTAAAAATAAAATGAGAAAAAAGCAACCTCATTTCTATATAATGTATATAAATAAAAAACCTTATCGCTGTCGACTCTGCTGCTCCGATAAGTGCTTCAAGTTGAGATAAGATTGAACATATTTCGTATGCCTTCGGGATGTGCATTCGCCATATACGAAACTAGCTAGCTATATACCAAAAGTGTAGTAAAAGTCAGCTGAAATACGGTGTAGATATAGATATAAAAATATAAAAATTGTTTATATACGTGTAGAGCTGTAGATTTGTGGAGCTGTACGGCGTATTGTTTCTGCTAGACACTTTTTACGGCTGTAAATATATTCAAAGCTTCAACTTTGGCCGCCCTAAGCTTTGAGCATTCAAATCAAGGTTTTTGCAGCTATTGAAAACTGATTTCGTTAACGTTTCTCAATGTAAATTCAAATTCATATTGTCACTTTATATCATTGAATGTTTGGTAACCTTGACGAAAATTGAATATATTATATTAAGCGTGGCCAGACTCTAAAAAAAACTCGAATACGGCTCTGTTTGAGTATAACCTGTATTTTATTATGTTGTTACTATCAAAATTTGGAGAGAAGACCTCTGATTTTTTCAGAGTTTCAGAGATTATCTGAGCGGATTTAATATACAATATGGAAGATATGTATCCATTTGCTTGATATTTTATTCAATTAGTTTACTGTAATTTCATCATTGATAATACGTTTCACATTTTATATATAAAATTGCAGAGCTTTCATCTATTAGGTCAATCGATAATTAAAAAGTTTATAGACTCCAAAACAGTATTTTTTTTTTATAAAAGTTTCGTTTCTCATTGCAATGGGAAATCAGTTCTTGTCCTTCAAAAAATGCAATAGTAACAAGCAAAGCAAAGTTGATTGGATTCGCTTTTAATTTGTGGCAGCACGCAAAAGTCCTCGCTCTGATTGAATGAAATTCTTTATAATGCATAGGCCCCAGGCAGTAGCAGAGGCAGAGGCAGCAGCAGCTGTTTCGTATTCATCATCATTAACACATTTTCGGCTTGAGTGCATCAGTTGAGACGTTGAGGACGATGCAACCGACGACATCTACAGCTTTCCCTCTCCGCTCGCCCCCTTTCTCTACCTCTGTTTCTCTCTCTCGTTCACTTGCTTTATAAATCACATGCTTAAACAGTTTTTAGCAATTTTCTAAATTTGAAATTTATCTAAAATTATTTGTGAAGTCGAAATTTCGATGCTAGAAATGGAATGTGGATTATAAAATGATTTAACAATTTGTTCGATCTAAAAAACCGTATATTCTTATATGCAAGTCAAATAAAATGGTAATATTTTATTTAATATTAAAGTACGACAAGTCGTGAAGCTCCAAAGAAGATTTGTTATATGAAAATGTTTATATAGCAATTATTTCAGAGCTAAGTTGGGATTCCTGCTGCCAATCAATATATTAATTAATCGTATTATTTAATTTCTAAGCGCGCAAAAGTAACAGGTTCTCGAGATTTGTCTCTCCCCCTTGTGCCCCTCGTCACCCCGAGCTGCAATCACCTGCCTCAAGTGGGAAACTCGTTTTGCCGCAGCATCGAATTAAAATAATTCACTAGTTTTCTGCTTCTTCTTCTACAGCATCGTCGCGTTGCTTACTAATTTCTGAGATGAATGCAAATGTGTGCGTCTCTTCATTATTATTATTATTATTATCATTATTATTATTTTATTGGCTGTCGTGACAGGTTCTATAAAAGCCAGCAAAGTACAAACACAATAAAGATGTATAAAATATAAAATGTATATTTGTACAAATGCACACATATATACATGTATGTGTATGAGTACAACAACAAGCAAACAAAAAGTATCTCATAGTGCGAATTTGGCGTGCCAAAGATACTTTTGCTCTGCTTGCATTCAAAAATATATCTGCCTTGTGTGCATATTGTTGTCATTGTTGTTGTTGTTGTTTCTGCTCCTATTGCCGTGGTTGTTGTTGTTGTTGTTTTGCAGCGTTGCCATCTCGTCGATTTATTGCTTATTTTGCTTTGCAGTCACTGTTTGGCGTACAGCAATTTATTTAATGGTCAAGGTCGTTTGCAGTCAAATCAACCACACACACACACACACACACAGTGATACACACATGCATACATATGTATACACTTAGGCGAAACACGCAGTCCGAGTGCTCTTACTGAAGTGTTCGCCCGTAGCAATAGAAACAACAACAACACTAAGCACGTACAAAATATTTGTATAATTAAATGTCATTTGCTGTTGTTGTTGCTGCTGTTGTTGTTGCTGCTGTTGTTGTTGTTGATGATGTTAGCGCATATTTAATTACCAATGAAATCATGAAAAGAAACCAACTCATGCATAATTGAGTTGCAAGTTATAATTCCCAGAGCAGAGTGCCAATAAAATCATCATCTATTCCTTGATATTTTATGACTTACTAATCAATGATCAATATATCAATATATGAGTATATTTAAATATATATATATTAATATATGTTTTACTTATAGTATATATATAAATATATTTATATTTGTTTTGAGGTTTTTTCTACTATAATGCTACCTAAAAATAATAAATCCCCTATTCCAAAATTGTTTTTTGTTACTAATTGTTGTGGGAGTTACAAGCTTGAGATATGGAAGGCATAAATTAGAGTGAGAAATGGGGCTGCAGTGATTTGAATTGACGACACATGAGGGACATATGAAGATGATCAATTAATCACCAAGAAAGAGAGCGGGTTGTTTAGGCTGCTAATCCCTCGACGAGGGATTTTGATATGGGATACTCTTTCATTTCAATTTTGAGCTGTTTGAGAATTACATGACTCAAAGTTTTGGGAGCTAAGCACGTGAATCCTAGAACGAAGCAACATGGATATATACATATGTATTTCATACGCATTTGAAATATTGTATTAATATTTATTTATTTATGGAACTTTAAATCAAGAGCTTTTTGTTAAGAGAGAGATCTTCTGATAAGAATACTTAATATTATTTCCTTTTTGGTTTTGTCGACTGGGCAACATTTCAGCCACAAGTTGTCATATTTAGGATTAGGAATAGAACAGAGATGTAAGAAAATATGATTATTTGCAATTTAAATCTTAAAATATTAAAACATGACATTTTAATTTAAGCAAAAGGAGGAATTCGATTGAAACGCGATTTAATGACTGTGACTACAATAGACCGAATCTAACTGTATTTAACTGAAGCTTTTCCGAATCTTAACTTGGCTCAGTCATATCCTCCACGCAATCATATCATAATAAACCGAAACCTTTTATCTCTCTTCAAATTCGTTAAGTGTTTGCCTACAAATAATATGTATTTCACTGACTGTTCGCTGGCAGTTTTGATAATTTTTCACAATCCTATGACTCATCTTGTTGTTGTCTGCTTGTTTTCACACACAAACAAACAAACACACACACTCAAAAAGAAAAAGATATACAGAAACACACGCAGACATTGACATGATCATTGCTTATTTCTAGCTAATAAAAACTAAGTGTTGTCTTGTTGCATCGTTCACATTTGCCTGCCTGACCCCTTTGACCTCTCCCATAGCCAAAGCCAACGCCAACGCCAACGCAATGCAACCGCCAACAGCTATTCAATTGAATGATCCGCTTTGAACCATGAACCCACCTCACAAAACGGCGCTCATTTTGTATATAGATATAAATATAGACATTAATGAACAAGTGTTTTGTGCTCATCTAAATTGTAAATGTTATCAAACTCGTCATCAATTCTCAATTCTAAACCTTTTTGACTCTCAATACTCAGTTCTCAGTTCTCAGTTCTGGACTCTCTAGAATCATATTTGGGCTTCCCTATATGAGGAGCGCATTATTTATAATGTTGATACGCATTTAACTATATTATACATTTTTACATATGATGCCTAAATGTTTACTGTATGTATGTATATTTATTATTGCTGCATAATTCACTCATAAATATTTTTTTCTTTTTCTTTTTTCATATAAACGTTTACAAAAAAAAAAAAAAAAAAAAAAAAAAAAAAAACCCCAAAATCCCCCCCCCCCAAAAAAAAAAAAAAAAAAAAAAAAAAAAAATACAACTCGCACATTCCACCACCTCAAAAAAAAAAAACAAACTAAAAATCAAATAAATAACAATAATTAACTAAATGAATAAATCTAGAAGGACTACACGATCATCATATACTTATATTACATTTAGAGGCTTGACTCAAAGTTCAAAGATTGTAATTTAAATTCGCCCGACCGCATATGCATATTGCCTTCAGCTCGCGAGCGTGTGTATATGTGCGTCTGTGTGAATAAGGATCATTAGAGCCAAAGAGGATTATTCATCAGCAGCGAACAGAAAACTGGGGCAGCGATAGATAAAGCTGCCTTGTCCTCTCAGATGCGAATTGAAGACAAGTTCGTACAGAAGCGTCTATATTCCCTAGATCAAGCATCGATCTAGATCGATCGATCGTTCGCTCGCTTTGACAAGAGCTCTGACCAGAACCAAAGCCTCCTTTGCCAAAAGCAAACCTTAAGAGTCCACTTCTCTAGCCCAAGGCAAACGGAAAGAAAAGCTAAAGAAAAAGCTAAAGCAAGAGCTAAAGAAAAGCTAAAGCAATCACTAAAAGCCGAATATAAATCTTATAACAATTCAAACAAAAGCCAGCAACATTCAATTAAAAATGGCCGAAGACGCTGCCATGGAGACATGTCCAAGTCCTGAGATGGGCGACTCACGCAAAAGGCCGCTCGATTCAGATCCGGAAAATGAACAAACTAAACGCTCACATTTCAGTTCCGGTAAGTTTTGCAATCATTTGACAAAAAAAAAATCGAAAAAAAAAAAATAAAAACAAAACAAAAGTCCAAAAGTACAAAATGTGAAATAAGCAATTTTCAATCGCTTTTACATATACTACTCTCATTATCGTGCTCCTTGTCTCTAACTATCTATCTATCTATCGAACTATCTAATTTATCTATCTCAATCTATCTATCTAAATTCACTGACCCACTTCTCACTCCTTACCAATCGCCGCAAAACGTGTAAATATTGTACTTCATGCCAAAAAAAAAGAAGAAAACTCGACCTATCTAAGCATTGCTGTCAAGCTTGTTGGCTTTATTTAACGTTTTTAGTTGTTTTTTTTTTTTTTTTTTTTTTTTTTTTACTTTACTTTTAAAGTTGAATTTAATACAAGTTTCTGCCGTTTTGCCACTGTCATCTTTTAATTGACCAATCCACAAATCACGTCAGCAATTGGCTGTGACTAACTCGACCCGGACCCGGACCTGTTTAGCTGAGTGCAAAATCGCATTGCGCATACGCCCCGCTGCCCACGCCTCTGACTGACTGCTAGGATAGTTGACCCCGAGCTGACCCATATTGCTGATAACCTCTTTTGGCATTCGGCTATCGTCTCCATGCCAAGTAGCTGCATCAGCTGTCCACCCTTTGGTGGGCTGCTCAATATGCAAATCATCTAAAATTCCAATTATGACAACACCGCGTAGTGTGGTGGAGGAGGCGGAGCAGGAGGGGGAGGGGAGGCGTAGCTACTTTGGCCGCTTTGCTTGATTGCTTGTGCCACTCTGGCAGCCCGCCGTCTCCAAGGTGAACCGCAACGTAATCCAACTGCCTCTACGTCTACCTCTACCTCTACGTCTACCTCTACCTGTCCTCGCATCGCATCGAATGGCATCGCATCAAATCGCGTCGCGTTCTGCGTTGTTGTTTGCTGTTTGTTGTTGTCTCGTCATCGCCGTCAAAGACATATAAATAGCAAAGGCTGTGAATCGGAGAGGCGGTTTTATTTTCGTGTTTTCTGATTTGTTTTTTGTCTGCTCGACACCTGCTTAACATTTGACTTTTAGTTTGAGAATACTTGACTGAATGACGACTGTGTGTGAGTGAGTGTGACTGAGTCTCTCTCTCCCTCTATGTGTGTGTGTGTGTGTGTGTTAGCTAAGCCAGAAAACACGTTTTGTTGTTTTGCATTTTTGTTTTTTGTTTTCTTTTTCTTATTTTGGAATTTCTGATTAGTGCTCAGAAGCGTGCTAAACAACTGACCGACTAATGCCTGCTCAAGACATTTCGAAACCTGTCGCTCTACCCTATAAAACAAATTCGTGTTATGCCCGCACAACAGTAGATCTGAAAATATGCATTATAGATAGTTGAACAAATTTGATGATCAAATGTTTGGAGTATTAGATATTATACAGAAATATGCATCTATAGATAGAGCAAGCATTATAAAAAAGTTATTTTTTTAAGGGAAAGGAGCAGATGTAATATAATTAACCTAAAGTTAACTGAAAATTATTTTGATTGAGTATTACAGGTGAATAGTTTTATGAGGAGCGGGGCGTAGATTTAATATAATTGTTGTACTACAGAAAATATGCATAATTATAGTAATTATATCGGAGATGTGCTATAATTATTTAATACATCGCTTGGTTCAATATAGTATTAACAGTTATAGCTCAAAAGCAATCTTAGGTTACATTGTTTATGTAACTGTTGGAGCTATATACAAAAGTTACTCAATCAATTTTTAGTCTTAGGGGATTTTTCTTATTAAAATGAAATCTATAATATATATTATATAAGTTAAAGTAAAGTCTCTTACTAATAGATATAGATCTATATTTCATTTTATGTTTTTATTTTATTTTGTATATTTAATTTCATATTTGCATAGCTAATTTCAGGAGCGAGACTTGATATTCGGTATAATTTGATTCTTAGACTTATCTTTTTATCAAGATAAACACTTTTACCCATATTTTAAATTCTAAATCATCAAAGGAGACATATATGGGAAAATAATGTAATGAATATATTAGCGAGTTTGGTCAAATATTGTGTTAAAAGAAATATTTTTTTTACAAACAAGTTGAAACGAATAATGAGAATAACAAATTTTGTCGTATTAATTAAGATATTTATTGTATTTGTATTAATTCAGATATTGTATGTATGTACTTAACTATTTGCTGTAAACATGTTTAGAAATGCCCTATTTAGCTTTTTTCTTGGGTAGAAATAATATTTTTGTAAACTCATAAGATTGCCCTCGAATGTGAAGTAGATTTGGTTGACGTTGCTATTGGCATTGCTGGTAATTAACTACCATTCATATATTTCTCTATATATATTGATAAATATGTATGTTTGTATGTCTGTTTGTATGTATAAAGTTTTGTTATTTCTGTTGCTCCCGTCATTGGTGGACGTAGAACAGGTCCATGGCATGTGTCAAATATGTTTGATTATGAATGTATAAGTGCTTATACATATATACACACACACACACACGCACACACATAATCGTACAAACTTAGAGCAATATTGTTTATTAGTTTTCAAACAATTTATTTGTTTAGCTGTCTTGACAGCCCGCCATTTATTAATATTTATTTCGTTCTCTAGTCTGAGCTCGCGCGAAAACGAATGGGATGCGGTTTTTGGAAACCAGTTTAAAGCTGTCTTCAAGTAAAATGCAACGCAAAAGGGATTTGGCCTGGCCTGCGTGATGCGCAGGATGCAAGGCAATAAATAGAGTGAGCGCCTTAGGGGCGGCGGGGGCGGGCACGGGGCTGCTTTGTGGGGCGGCCAAACGAACATGTGTGTCGCTGTGTGTTACGTAATCATAGAGCTGATAGAGCTAGCTTGAAAATAGATGCGCAGGGCAGCAGAGAGGCCGCGCCAAGAGCCGAGCTGGTCCCAGAGAAAAGAGAGAGATGAAGGGGGTTGGGGAGAGAGCGAGAGCAGAGAGAAAGAGCGTGATTGGTAGTGCGGCTGCTGCTGCGTTGACAGCGCTGTTGACCTACTTCGTTGACAATGTGCGAGTTCCCGAGTGTGCGTGTGCATCTGTATCTGTATGTGTGTGTGTGGGGCACATAGCCATTGCCTAGACAAGGTCTTGCGCAGTAGCCGTGCAAAAGTCTGCGTTGTCTGCTGCACTGCAGTATTGGGCGAAATTGCAGTCGACAGCCGCAGCAGCAGCAGCAGCCGAGCCAACACGGCAACGTCCTTGAGCATACACACACACACACACAGAGAGAGAAAGAGAGAGAGAGAGATAGGAGGAGGAACAAAACAACACTTGCACTGAATATGGGTTACACCTTGGCCACTTATGCAGACTGAAATAGCGATGCTGCCGCCTGTCGGCTGTCGGCTGTCGCCTATCGCGTGGCCACTTCAAGTGCGTTTATTGCCTGCGGGCTTTCCGTCCGACCCGTGCGTGGGCGCACTCTCTCTCGGCTGCTCTCTGGATGTATATTTTTGGGTTACCTTATTCTTAGCAGATTCCTTTGTTGCAGCTCAAGTGCTGCCGCTGTTGCCGCTGTTGCCGTGTGCTGCACTTGTAAGGCATCTCAAGTGGCCTACTAATAGCTCGAGTATCATGTTGGTTAGTTAGGTGGCAAGTGGGTGCTTCTGTCCCGCTGTCCCGCTGTCCCGCTGTCCCACTGTCCCACTGTCTCTCACTGTTCCTCTGCCTGTGCAGTTTCCGCCTATTACTTTGCCCTCAAAAGCGGCACGAGCACGCTTATCGATAGGTCGACCCAGGCTTAGCTTAGCTTTCGTTTTCAGCTTTTGTGCCACTCAAAGTGGGTCACGTCGGTGCACTTGAGACCATTGCTGTTAGTTAAGGAACAAATGCGACCACGAGGCGAATGAGCAATTTGCGGTAAATCACACATACGCCAAGTGTGCAGCTGCCGACTATTTTTGTACACATAAATATCCAGCTCTCTCATCTTAAACTATTAACAAACTATTATTCACCAAGCCTTAGCTAAGTGAATTTCCAACTCAGCAGCAGGTAGAACTACAAGAATCTTTAGAACTAAAATAACAAAGTAAATGAGTGAAGTCATTATATCAAAACACATTTCGATTGTAGCTTGCTCACTCTCCCTCTCCCTCTCCCTATCCTCCCTCTCTCTCTATATATAATTGTGCATGTATATTTGAGGCGTGTGTTGTGTCATCATCATCATCATTAAATAGCGATCGATGTTCCAATGAAGTTTTTCTGCTCGCTTCAAAAACATGACACGTTGTGCTGCTCCGTATCTCCTTAGCTTATCTGCCCATGCCACAATATATATATGTATGTATGAGTATATAGCATTTTCTATTTTAGTTCGAGTCTCAACTCCTCGACTGATAAAGGGCAGCAGCTAAAAAGTCAAACTAAGCAAGCTATATATACATATGTATATATATATATGTATATGTATATATATATGTATATATATATACATATATAAAACAAACAACAAATTGTTTTTTAAGTCAGCCAACGTCAAAAAGCCGCCCATTAGATCATAAGCGCGCTCTGCTCTCTCTCACACACACACGCACATTCACATCTATATAGCAAAACATATGCACACACACACACACACACACACACACATACACACAAATACATGCGTCTCCACACACGCACACACAGAGGCTGTTTATGATCGCATTGCCTGACTCATTTGGATCACCCTCTTGCTCTCTCTCTCTCCAATCGCACTTGTTGTGCTCTCATTCCCTCTCCCTCTCTCTCGCTCGCTCTCCCATTTGAACTCTGTGCTTTTGGGCTAGCTTGGACGCAGTCGCGCTGCTCTGTCGCTGGCTCCAGCTCTGTATCTCTGTCTTGCTCTCTCTCTTTCTCTCTGTCTCTCTGTCTCTCTGTCTCTCCGTCTCCAGCGGCGTTTCGCTTGTGCGCCACGGACCAACAAAATTCTTCAGTGCGATTTCAGCGCGCGCCGTTGCCGATCGTCGTTCATTTCGTTCAGTGCTCGCTCGCTTCTCGTCTCGCCCTGTCCGCTGTTGTTGTCGCCTTTTTGTCCGCACAGCCATTTTGTTAACAGAATCGAGTTGGCTGTCAACTAACCAGCATGTTGTTTGCCAGAACGCAGCAACAGCCGCCGCACCATCATCATCAGTCGCAGCCAGAAACGCTGACGCCGCTGCCGCTACAATTGTGTATGTGTTTGCAAGTGCAGTTTTAAGTCATACTCACACACACACACACATAGATACACTGTAATACATAGCAGGAAGACTGTTCTGAATGACCTTGTTAATTAGCATCGTCGCTGCAATTCGCCCAATGACAACATCCCGACAGCAGCGGCTAAGCTAATCGTTTATTTATTTTTTATCTAACTTTGTGTTTGCATTTCGTATTTGTGCTTCTCATTAGGCGCATAATCACATGAGCAGCGTCGTCATTCGACAATAATATATATATGCATGTGTGTGTGTGTGTGTATGCGTGTCTTTGTGTCTGTGGGGCCACGCTGCGTATGCGCAACTCGACATTTTGTGTGCGTCGCGACGCGACGCGTCGTCGTGTCAAGGTCGCATTTTCGTTTTGAAAGTTGCCAATAGCTGGGAGTCGCAGCAGTGCGAATACTTCTATCAGTCAGATAACATAGCTTGTTCAGTCACTCACTCACTCACTCACAACGACAACAACAACAACAACACTTTAAAACGATTTGCCTACGAGAAACCCTCGATTCGATATTGTGGCCAGGCCAGCCAGACAGCTATAAGCTACAAATGTAGCTCAATGCCAACAGCTACAATAATAATTCAAAAACTAGACACACTATGTGGACACAATAACAAAATAAACATACATATATATATGTATGTGTGTGTGTATAAACCTATTGACATTGACACGAAGAAGCAGTCGGAGGCGGCAAAGTTCGACTTTTAATTTGAGATTCTTATTTGAATAAATTGAAATGTATTCAAGATTCGTGCTCGACTCTGCTAATCAATGCCCACTAAAAGGTTTGCGTTAAAAATAAACCAAAACCGTGCGTCGTCTGTGTGTGTAGGCTGAGCCACTTCAATTTGTCAATGTGTCAGTTTGTCGGCTTGTCAGAGTTGTGCCTAAAAGAGCGGAGAGCAAAACATAACCTTGAAAAGCGTTTGAGCGTTTGAGCGTTTGAGTTTGTGTGGGCTCTCAAGAATGAGCATACCAGAAATGTCTATAGAGAAGCAACCTTGACAGCTAACCGAGGTACTCCATTCATTGAGAGCCGAACGAATGAGGCATTTACTTTTTTTGCTTCTCCCGCGTTGCTGCTGCTCTTTTTGTTTTGGTTTTGTTGCTAAACAGCTCGCAACGGCTCGTAAATAATAAATGCAGCCGAAAATTGGGGGGATTTCTATTGCTTTTCTGCTTCAAATCTCTAGCAACTGGTGGGCTCAGCTTCATTGTGTAAGAGCAGCAGCAGCAGCAGCTACTGTTGGGGCTACTATTGGCAACTAGTTGTTAATTTCTGTTGTTTGGCAACGCGCGGGCCGAGCAGGTGTGTCGTGGCTCGTGTGTCCAGTTGAAGTATAGCTGCTACCTCACCTTTTATTTTTTTGCGAGATCTGAAGCGAAATTGTGCTGTGACTTCTACACGGTAAATCAATTGGGGCCGTAGCGTCATTAAGGCTGGACGAAGATGATCTCACACATAATTTAGTTGGCTATTGTTGCTGTCGTAGTTGTTGTTGTTGTTACGCCCACCTTGTGTGTGAGCTGGAATTCGAATATATTAACGTGTTTTTGTTTCCACTTGTATTTGTGTATGGCTAACCAGCATTTAGTTATATAACAAAAACGAAACATGATTTCTAAATCATTCGCATTATTATTATTATTATTATTATTATTATTTTGTATTTCTTTTTTTTTTACTTTATTTTATTTTGTAATTGACTTTGCATTTCATTGGTTTCTGCTGGCCATTCAAATTATTAGCGTCATTCCGAATACTTATTTATTTGTATTCATATATATATATTTCTCGTTCATTCATTCGCTCGTAATTGCAATTAGCCAAGCGATTCCTCGCGTTTCCTGGTCACACGAATTGGAGTTTGTAATTGACCAAACTTCACATTTGAATGTGTCAAGGTAATTTGGAGTCGGCTTTCCGTAAACATGCGACGTTTGTGTTTACGAATATTGATCAGATACGCCTAATTATATGGCAATTAGTCGCTCTAATTAGAGGCTGGCCCAATGTTCCATTTACAGAACAGCCAGCGCATCAGGTCCACATTATTTTCCTATAATCTGTCTATCTACTAACCTTGGCGAAATCATCGATTCGGCGTCATTATAAATTCATTGTTTTATTCATATGCTCGCATCGAACTTCACCCCATTTGCACACAGAACATTTCCAGGCTCACACTAAACACATTCCACACATTTATATATTTCGATATTATTTTGCACAGATTTCTTTTTTGTTGTTATTATTATTCCTTTCTATTCATGCAATTGTGCTTGTAATTTGAAAATGAAAATGCGCTCCATTCCAAGATAATTTATACACGCGACAGCATTAAATGAAATTACGAAAATAAATAAAATATGACTTAAATAAAAGCGAAATACATTTCGATCAACTCTCATTGGGGCGACACACACGTAGTTGTTGTTGTTGCTTATATAGTAAACAAAAATATATAAATATATCAATTTCAATTATCTCCAACGCACAGCAGCATTTCCGCAAAACCAATAAAACCACAAACTGTACAAAAAAAAAAAAAAAAAAAAAAATTTAAAAGGGAAAAAAAAAAAAAATTTAAATTTTTTTAATTTCTCAATTTT